AAAAAAAAAAAAAAAAATTATAACCAAGTAATTCGATAATTTGTAAACAAATTATATAGAATTGTGACCTTAATATTATTTCATAAATAAAGTTTAATAACATCTGATTTTTAAAATTTTAAACCTTATTTTTTAGTTTCGAGTCATAGTTAAACTTTTAGATATGCAAATTTCCCTTACAAAATTGTTAACACTAAAAAAATAATTAAAGAATTGGGTTACTTTTAAAATGATGGCCCATTAAATTTATTAAAGCCTAAAGTTTAGCAGCACAATTATTTTAACAAAGCCCATGTAAGAGCCTCATCTTAATTTAAAACAAAAAAATTCATATTTATATTAAATAATTAGTTTAAATATAATTAAGAATGATTAAAAAAATCTTACTATAAATAGTGCCCAATGTCCAAGAAACAATCATAAGTTGGAGTGCAGGATAAAACTTACAAGTCCAAAAAGAAGCCCGAAGAGAAGTTTGGAGGAATAAGAGAATAAGATCTCTTAAGTCCAAGTTCACAAATCCAAAAAGATCAACATCTTCTTCAAATCAAAGCAAGTTCAAGTATAAGTCTCGACGATCCAAATCAAAGTCAAGCCCATGTCCAAGTCCCAATAATTCAAGCAAATCAAGTTTACAATAAGTCCTGAATTTCAAGATTCATAACACGTGGTCCATTGTCTTCGAACAAGCAGTTACAAAAATATTAACGTACTTTGTATTTCATATGAAATCAATTTATAACATTTTATGTATTTTTATACACGAAATTGTTGAATAACTGTCATTTTATTCAAAAGAAAAGAGGATTATATATCGTTACATGATTTCTCAATACGAACAAATTTCTGCAATGCCTACAAGTAATGGAATACGATAAAGTAATTTTCATATAATCATTTTCAAGCTCCTGTTTGAGTCACATTATTTTTTTCATTCTCATTCTTCTACTCATTTTCAACCACACATTCTTTAATAAAATAATATTTTTATCACATCAATAACTTTTCCTTCTTTTCCAATTATATATTCCCCATCATATCATTTCAAAAAAATACATTATCTCATTTTAATNTTAGTGACAAACATCATTTTTAATAAAAGTTGTATATCCCATTTTAATTAAAAGTAACATTCACTTTTTATTGCGTCACTTTTTTTTTAAGTGTAAAAGTGACACTTAATTTTACACAATATTGTTCAAACTGAAATGTGGTTGTCTACACTACTGCAGTGGAAATAATAACTCAATTGTGTTACACCAACATGAAAATTGTCAACTTGTCACTTTTTTTAGTATTCGCCACTTTTTTGAGGGGTTGTCACTTTTTTTTGCCACTTTTCTAAAAAAAATTTCTCTTTTTATTGTTTGTTACTTTTTAAAAATTTATATCACTTTTTTGAGTAACAAACATAAGTTTTAATTAGTGTTTTGTCACTTTTTTTAAGTATTTGTTACTTTTTTGAGTTATGTATAACTTTTTGAGTGTGTGTCACTTTTTTTGAATTTTGTCACTTTTTTTGAGTTTTGTGTCACTTTTTTGTTTTTTACAAAAAAAAGTGACATTGTGTCACTTTTTTTTCACAGTTTTTTTTACTTTCTAAAAACCTTTCATATGATTTTTCAAAACACCCCTAATTTTAAGGGTATTTTTGTAAGTACCCCTTAAATGTTTTTGTAAGAACCAGCTTCGAATGGGGTAAATTACAGCATTGCTTGTTTATTTGAGTAATTATGTCAATAGTTAGTGAAGTTATCTTTTTAATGTAATAATCACTCAAGTTTATAAACATTACACCAATGATTATTCAATTAAAAAACAAACATAAATTATATATGACGTGTGCGAATGTGTCACCAAAGAATATGATTATTATGTCAGATCAATACAATCGATATTAGGAGTTGAAAATTAAACATATTCAAATAAAAAAAATGTAATGTAACTATAGTTTTAGTCAAATTTTTATACTTAAATAGTATGGCAAACCTAGAGGTGTCAATTCGGATGGTTCGGGTCGGGTCGGTCAGCCAACATATGAGTCCGATAACGCCCCGCATGAAAAAAAAGCCCGCCCCTACGGGTTCTGAGCCGATTCCGGGTCGGCTCACAAATTTTAGACTACAACCCAAACCCATTCGCTGACCCATCCGGGTCGAGCCCATGCGGGTCACGGGTTGCGCGGGTCGCGGTTTGTTCCGATTTGATCCATATTATTGTATAAATAAAATTATAAAAATATAGAATTTTTTCATATTTATAGCAAAAAGTATTTTTTTTGTTAAATATAAACTAAGAATTGAACAAAATGATAAATTTATATTTATACCAAGAAATGTTTACATAAAATTCAAATTTAATGTTATATAAATTATTTATAATTTTGCAAAGTTAAATTTAACTTAAACAAATAACAACTAAATGTATTTTTAATTACTATTATCAAATATTTATAGTATAAGTATATCCCGATTAGGTTGACACATACTTTTATTATATTTTATAATTTAAGTACATCCCAACTGCTCTTTCTCCCCCATTTTTTCAAATTTTTAAAATTTTATTTTTTACGGGCCAGCGGGTTAACACGGCTCGCGAAGGTGCAAACCGTGAAGCCCATGGGTCACACCTCCTTGACCCAGGAACTGCCCGAGGTTTTGGGCCTATCCGGGTCAGTTTTCACGGGTCTGATCGACTTTTCCGTCTTGACACCTCTAGGTAAACCTACATTCCTCAATTTTGCTAACTTAATGTAATAAATTGCATTGATGACATATTGAATATTTTTGTCCAGT